TTTGTACCCTGGGAGCATTCCAGCGACTAAGAACCTGATGAAGCGATGAGTTACCTCTCAAATAAATGAGACGTGTGATGCTTGTTTTGGGTCGTGCGATGAAGCGGGTGATCTTCTAGGGAGGTTTCACTTTAGGTGTTCAAGTTAATCGTTGGGTGTACTTGTCCTCACCCACGAACTATGCCAATGGTGCCAGTATGCAACACATGGATGCGTCACGTTTTCAGCAGGGTAAGATATATTTTATCATCTCGTGAGTTGTTTTGCAATTGTTTGAATGGTATGACGCCTCTGCATTCGGCAGAGCAGGCAAGCCGAAAAAAACAACCAGGAGTGGGTTTCGAATCCACTGTAGATATGTCCGAGAAAAACGAAAACTTGTAATGTTGCTGAGCTGCCATGATGGCTCCAGAAAAAAACGGTGGCTGAATGCTGAAAATAACCCCTTGTCGCACTGTTCCAGTCTCGTGTTTCGAATGGTGGAGGCAGAAGAGGAGTACGTGGAGCAGCTCAACATCCTAGTGACGGGCTTTTTAAGGCCATTCAAAATGGCGGCCTCTTCAAAAATGCCGCCGTGTAGCCACGAAGATGTCAATTCGATATTCCTTAACTCGGAGACACTGTTATTTTTGCACCAAATATTTTTGAAGGGCCTTTCCGCCCGAATGGAAAGCTGGCCGACATTGGTGCTGGGTAAGTGCAAAGCCAACGAATGGCTTCGATATATCTGTCCTCTCTTTTTGTCTTGCTTCGTATGTAATCTGTATGGGCCATAAAGGAAGCGGCATTTTTCTATAAATATACGGCATGAGCATGGGAAATTTACGATACTCATTTGTTAATCCTACAGGGCAAAGAACTCTTACTTGAGAGCGTTCTTTTGCCACGAGTCTGCATTCCTGTTCTTTTCTATTTGTGTGTGTTTGTGTGTATGTATGTGTGTATGTGTGTGTGTGTGTGCGTATGTGTGTGTGTGTGTATGTGTGTGTGTATGTGTGTGTGCGTGTGTGTGTATGCGTGTGTGTGTGTGTGTGTCAATGAATATCGGTTGGCCGCATTCTGCTCGTAACCATAAGCAAGAAGTAAGCTATACTGCTAATACACCGATTCCAGATTAGCTAATTTATCCGTGAAGATGTCATGTCTCATAGAAAGTGCGCAAATCATGATGCAGAATGCGGTTTTACCGATAAACAACTCTACGGAATGAATGGGCAAGAAGACATCTCGATTGGTAAAGTTTTATGTTTCATAGCTTCGGCATTGCTTTCTGGAGTTTTCCAAGGTGCTTTAGCGCTGGGTGTAGGGTATCCATAAGCATTGGCTTTGCTGCTCCGTAGTTTAACTGGCCCCCAAGTCAGCTAGTCAAAGGTGTCGCGGGTGGACTGACACCTGCCTTACACGGGTCTTACCTGTTTTGCAGATAACTACCGGCCTATATGTGCTCCATTAGGTATGTTGTGTATAGTTGCTAAGTCTTGTCAATGTCGTGGTGCCACTTAGTAAACTGCAGTCTAGTTGCTCGTGTCCTTAATTGCATACTGATCTTTTGACAAGGAGTTGGGCCAGTCATGACAAGCACACCAAATCTCCCGATTGGCTCGGCCTGTCAAACGTTCGGAGAGGAGGTGAATGCAGGTGATATTTTAGAGAACAGGTGCGTAGAACTGTGCTGGCTGGTTCTACAATCGCATCATGCAAACAGTTGATTAAATTCCTCTCAAAATATTACACTTGCTGTTCACTCCGAAGACTCCGAATTTTACGCTGTTGCATCATTGCACCATTTTGAGGTTTATGCAACGAAAAACATTTCATGCATGTCTGTCTGTCACTGCCGATATTTTGTAATTGTTGAGACCTATTTCAAGAAGTAGTGCCACGACGTCTCGTCTGTTGAGAATCTTGGCACATCTTTGGGTGCATGCGTACGAAATTCGCTTCGGTTTAAAATGTTAGAAGGTTTCTGTGCTGCACCAGGAATGAACAACGCTACGTAGCATCACAAAGTCTTGGTTTGATCACCTCAGTTCACCCATCCGTAATCACTGGCAAGCGAGGAGGCAATGGCGCACACCACCATAGAAATCAAATACATTTGCGTAGTGCGTGAGTATCAGCACCAATAGCACAATGTGGCATGGGTTAGTAGTAGAACTGTAACCTTATTTGACACGTTATGATGTTAAATTGCAATACGGTAGCCTCTTGACTTCATTCTCAACATAAATGGAATACACCAGTTGCAAAACTTACTCAGGACTTGTCACTCGTTGATCATGCAAACTTTTGTACTACATCTGCTTTCGAGACTGACACGAATACTGCACCGTAATCTTAACAGCACAGCCTCAGAGAGGTTTGATATGGGATGTTCATTGCCTAATTCTACAGATATGGCTATATCTGCTGACGGATGCTCGAATGTTTTTCACAAGTGGCCTCCGCTGTTACATGCTTTTACCACTCCAAATGCTATTCATCACACCCGATGAAACGTGGACCTAAAGTCGCGGCAATGGCAGCGATCACGTTACACAAACTCAGACGTATAGTTGAGGTGTGTTTTGCCGTTCATGGCTACAATTGTGCCTGATATTTTCAGATGGTCTACTTAACTTGCAAAGTATCAAGTGATATGCAAAAGCATCGAGGTCTTTCTTTTGACTGCACAACTTTTGAACGAGCTCTCAAGCTTTGATATTTCAGGTATCTGTTACATTTTAGCCTTATGGTAAGCTAGGATGGGACCATAAAATAACCACAGTAACAACGTGTTTCCTATTTACCCATCTTCACCGTTGCACGGTTGTCATTTGGTATGACGTGCTGTGTACCCTTTGCGTGATCCGTTTCATCAGTATTCGTGCGAAGAAAATCGGCAGTTCACGAAGAATACGTGTAGGTATATTTCATTATGGTGCATGACTTCTGAATATGTGTGCAATGAAGAACTCAGCTCGCTTAACGTACTCATCCATAGCGCGCAATCGGCAAAAACAAATAGCTGGATCATATTGTTTTTGGCACGTGAGACACAAAATTACTAGGTAAAGAGAAGCAGTTTATTGAATCCTTGCCAAAGAGCCAATAAGCCACAGGGGCCGCGTGGCCATGCAGGAGGAAATTGCAAAGTTTGTAGGCTATTTTGGCTCACAATGCGGTAAATGTGTCCAAAACGTTTCACATAGATAAAACAGAAGTAAAAGCGTCATTCCTCGGATAAAAATCAGGAGAATGGAAATACAGACGCGTTAATATTTCCGCAGCACGCCTTTATCGAAACTTTAGCAGAAGTGGTATTGTTTCGATAAAAGCATGCTGCCGAAATATGAACGCATCTATATCTCCATTCTGCTGTTTTTTCTCTCCGAGGAATAGGCTATTAATACTGTCATGTTATGTGAATAATGTTCCTCGCAAATGCGCTCAACAACTTATGAAGAAGTTTTGCATCATCAGAGTAAAATGAATTGGGAGAGCGGGGTGCGGCATGTTTCGGGTAGATCGGATCGTGCACTCTGGGAATCCAATCTTCCTTCGTGGAGATATAAATTAAAATGTTCTTTCTGACTGTCATGGACTAACGATCTGTTCATTTGTTTCCCAACAGCAATGGAGTCTTTGCGTAGTAAGGAAGCCTAAACAAAGTTGCCCTTCCAGCCAGAGGCCAGTTTTGGGCAAAAGTAAACTAGTTTCACTGAGTGAATACGGCTATATCAGCGAGTGATCCAATCGTCGTGAGGCACACTTCATTCAGATCGATTGCGTGTCACGAAAATAACTTCGGAGACAAATGTTGTCTTTAAATGCTTTCTGTAGCTTCCTGTTTGGTACTCTGGAAGCATCAATTCCTTATACGGAGCTACACATGGTTTCTTTGGCCCGCCTTGGAATATACAACGCTATTGCCGCCCCAGTTTCTTTCCAAAGTGCATACGTCAAGTGCCTCGAGAATTGTAGTCTCTTGTATAATTGGTTGCAGTCTCTATATGATAAAGAGACTAAAACCTAATACAAAATGTGCACATGACCGAAAAGAGGCGTTCCATTCAAAGTCGGCCTTTCATTTCGCAATTAGATCAGACAAATGCCAGGTTGCTGTCGTTGAGCGACATCAGGACAGCTGGGATAGCGCATACGACACCTTTCCCCATCCTTGCCCCAAGACGCCACGTGTACCATTTCATCGCGATCAGTGCAAGATAAGCCACATGGCTGTTGCTGCACTTAAACCACAATACGATAAAATACACATTAAAGGCAGCGGCTCCTTCTGTTCACGTTGCTCATTGCCACGTGAATAACTCCCACGAGTTGGCAAGCCAACGTTTAAATTCTGTATGATATCTCTGCCGTCCAAAGGTAAAATCTATATGTTAATTTTTGGCCACTTTGCGCTTTTTATGTCATGTTATTCATGTACTCATGCTGATTTCAGGTACGTAACAATTGGCTGAAATTTCACAAACTTTTACCCACTCTTTAGCTAAAAGTGTGTGAAAATTTCAGCTATTGGTTTAAATATCCGAATGCAGCATGAAAAACAAATCAGAAGATAAAAACGCGAAGTGACCAGAAATGAACACATGGGGTTTTACCTTTGGACGGCAGATCTGGCCAGATACTGGAACTGAGACAATTACATGACTAATGTAATGAATTCCCGGGAACATGATGAAGCCTATTGAGGACAGGAAGATGCCCATTCATTTCATGTTTGCTGTGTTATTGGGGATCGTCGGTGTGTTCTGTGGTGCGTGTCACGCAAAGCAGAGCTGTGGTCGCTGTTGTCATCTGCGGCACTGACGCGCAACGGACTGTGTTCGCCACTCACGCCTTAAACAGCTGCATGCCCTGCTTCACCATGTGACACAGACAGGCCACAGCTCTGAAGAAAACGTGCAACAAAAGTGTCGACCGTGCACGTGTTTCCAGTGTTCTCAACAAGACAAGCCGAGAATGTCAGATGCGAGCCTTGGAATAGAATCCTCATATCCGATCCTCGACTTGGCCTTTCATCAGATGTGCTATCGTCGCCTTATGCCATAATATTCCCACCAATAAGGTATGATGCGATGTCATCACGCTCAAAAGGATTAAACCCACTCAAAGACTTCTACACACGACAGGCGCAGAAGGTTGTCACATGTATCCCTGCATCTGGGTATCTTGCTTTTTAGCAGCCGACTGCTCCTCTTATTGCAAATCATGTGCACAGGGCTGGCTTGCAAATTGATGAAGGTCAGGTAAGCATTATGGCGTACATCCTACCCAGCATTTCCGCACCATTTGAATTCGACACTTTGGAAATAATTTCAAAGGGAATAAATGGAAGCTGAGAAAAGGAAAAGCACTGCAAAGACGAAAGCTCTGTTCAAAGGAAAAGGAGTGTACTTTCAAAGCAATTTGGATGTAATGCGCAATCAAGCAACTAGAAGCGCAACTTCGTCCCCCCAAATCATACGGAAAAACAGCATGATTTCTTGTCATTGAAGGTCTAAAAACGACAACGGATGTTAACAGCACTAACTGGGTGCAAATACGGCCGTCACCATCAGCTCCATAGGGCGGTAACCAACTGCAAGCTTGCGTCGCTCCAAAGTTTGAAGGCATGCAAAGCTTGCCTTTCAGTTACAAAAGGCACGTAATGAGAGACAAACCAGTGGAGCGCCATGCCCCTCAATGAGGCTTTCCACTGTAATAGAAATATAATATCCTATGACTCAAAGGCTCAGACACACTGGGCTCAAACACCTTACTGAATACCTTATTTTGATGTAGATAGTCATTGCGTAAAAAATGCAGACTCAACCTCTTTGCAGTGGTGGATTTGCCTGAAAAGTGGTCTTTTAGTTTTGCCTAGAACGAAAATAAATTGTCAAAAAAGCAGCTTTTCATCACCAACAAATCCTGGAGAGCTGAAATATTACCAATTATGTGCTTCGCCTTGAGCCATAACATTATGGGCTGAAATACCTGCCTTACATAATGAAGCCACCGTCGTCTTGCGCTCGCCTCACGTTGGATCCGCGCTAGCGCTAAATCTTCTCGGAGACATCACAGCACCTGTAGCAAGCCTCTGGCCGGGAAAGTTTCAGCAGAATCGACAACTTTTTCTACGTTTGATCAGCAACTATGTTTTCGCGGTCCAATCCTTTTAAAATATCCGAAATATTTGCATTATGCTAATACATGAAGACGCCCTTCCACCTTCTTTACTAGGAACATTACGTCCCTGGTGATATGACGTACTGATATTGATTCAGTGTGTCGAGACCACCAACAAATCGCTTCTGTTGAATGATGCTGCCGTCCATTCATAGCCGCCATCCATAGCTGTCCATTGACATGGACAGCTATGGATGCAGATTACTCCTTAGGCAGAGCTCGGTCATGTGCGCGGAACCCACACAAGGGTGGGCCGATCTAACTCGTAAGGAGATCGTATCG